CTCCTCGCCAACAAACAACATAAAAGAAAATCTAATATCACCATTAGATTTTGATTAAGAACAGAAACTGGCATAAAAGCTGTCATGCGTTTATGAAGATGAAAGGTATGGGATTTGATTGAATAGTTGACTCAGCCCCTTGTTGTTAGACGCGCATCCGTTTTCTTGCTCGTTAGCGCTGTCAACTATCAAACTCATCCGCTTGTCAATTCTTGGTGTAATACTCACTCGTAAATGATTGGTGTCAGAATGTCGGGAAAAATGAAGGGTAGCACACTTTGGGTAAAAATGATCCTAACCTATACATTATGATTCCCAAGTTCTATTGACCCAGTTCCCTTTCCCACTCACGAATAAGTTTGGCCAAGGCATCTCCGGCCTTCTTCCCCGACCTAGGTCTTTCCCCCAAAGGTAAATTCTTAATCTCCTCCAGAATTGGATCAGTTGTCTGCGTTTTTCCGCTGAGGACGTGTATATTCCAAGTTCATCGAACATACTGGACAATATGTCGCTCCGCATCGAGATGCGGTTCAAAGAGGAAGTAAAATTCTCAATCGCCCACCGCACTTCTGTTATGGAAGGTGCGGGCAGGGGACCTTGGGGTTGCTGCCCGGGTTGAGCATTTTGTACCGATGAGGATGCCTCCCCATGCGGTGAATAAAAAAAATCTATCCAAGAGTCCACCCGGGGAGGAGATTGAGGGGAGGGGAGGGGACGAGCTCGATGAGCCCGAACAAGGCATCATCTGGGATTTTACTCCCCTAGTAATGAAGGCCTTCACAGCCAATGCAATGGTGAAGGCCAGACAAGAGGGGAAGCCCATCCGAATTTCAAAAGAATGTAGGGCTTTCGACCCCTGAGATAAGGTATGCTTTTAGTGCGTTCTCTAACTATAAGTGCAGGCGCGGCGTAGCGTCATGGTAGCGTTAGCTATGCTCGACTAACAGGACGAGTCATGTGACTGACCTGACATTTTATTGAGATAAACTTCGAGCTGCTGAACTGACAACGGTATATTGTTTTTCTGCTTGTTTTGAAAGCCCTCACGCTGGCAAGGAATGATATCCTTATGAATATTAATAAAGAGTAGACCGCCTTCCTATGAGGAAAAAAAGGAGGAAATATAAATTTGGTTTTAAGATTGAAGAAACATAAATATCTGCTTTCTGCAATGAGGAAAGACTTGTGGGAAAATCGCTTGGTCAAACCAAGAAAGGCATGGGAGTTTTGGGCGTAAAAGTTGCTTTCTTTACGATAAAACTAGTTGGATAAAAAGAGCGCTCCTAAATGAAGCCTTTCTCAACTATACGATACCGCAAAATGTTTCTTCCTTCCTTAGTCTTATAGAATATTCTTTTCTCGATGCTTTGAATAAGGTTCGGAGCGAGGAGAACGAAGAAAGGCGCAAGCGACCTTACGCTGCATTTGCTTCAAGATAGAATGCCACTAGATCACTGACTGAACGACGAGGAGATAGAAGAGAAGACATGATGTTACTACTGCTCTCCTACTGAAAGAACTGGATTGTACGAGTATCGATAAGTAGATTCGGGATGGGAATATAGAATGCTTCTCCCTTAGAGCACATCGTTACTTACATCGAAGTAAATGTGTTAAGCATATAGTAGCATTTGAATGCTAACTGAAAGGATTTCATTTAGTAAGAAATTCCTGGAGCCAGGGGAATGCGTTTTAAGAAAGCAAGTTCCATTTGGGAGGAGTAAGCGCTCTTAGCCTAGGAAGACGAGGGTGCTAGAGACTCCGTTCCTGGGGGAATAATGTTAGTCGAAGGGGGGTAGCGGTCTAAGCCTCTTAGGCTTGGCACAGGAATGAATCTCTCACCCATAGGAAGCAAGTGATAGGACCCACCCAGAGGTAGGAAGAAGTGAATCATCAATTTACTTATATAATAGATAGCAGAATAAGCGGACTTAGAGGAAGGGCACGGACGGATTAAGGGAGGGAAGGAAGGAGTTGTGAAAGAAAAGAAAAAACTGCTTGACTCGCCGCTGTTGCTATTACAGAATCGGTTGTGAAAGAATGGCTTTTGTTCCAATCATCCGCTGTCTCCATATCCGTTGTTCAAATAGCAGCTTCTTGGCTCTTTCCCGGTGGAAGGGTTTCAGGAATGGAATCTGCATCCCTTGCGCTATAAGCGATGTTTTTTTAAACCAGTGCTATGTTTGCAATATACGGTGCCGCTGTTGAATCAGATATGGCACTTGAGTGAGTGGCATATCGAAAAGATTCATATGCCTCGAACAAGAGAAATGTCTTTTGAATGGAAATCTGAGAGGAGAAGGAGGCACCTATTGTGAGGGAATGGTCTTTTGCAAGACTAAGGGCTTAGAGAGAAAGCAAGGAACTTCACTGCCAACATGTCCGAGGAAGTGAATGCGACATTCAAGGCAATGCTCAATTTCATTGAATCAATAGATCAAGAAGTTCCTTACATTACTAATGGGCAATCAGGTTCAGGTTCATAATACCGAACAGCCTTTGCTTTGCTCTCATTGCTGCTTGAAGGCAAGTCAGGTAAAGAAAATCCCCCTTGAAATGGAAAGTAAGTAGTCAATTTTTGTTGGGACGGAAAGCGACTCTTAAACCACTTCTTTAAGCGCTATGCACTGCTCCGTGGGCTCAGTCTTTCTGGCAGCTATCTTGCTAAACTGCTAAAGAGTTCCTTTTTTTCTTCCAAAGAAGGGTAAGGTTACTTTACCTGAAAACAACAGTTTTTCCTAAAGGTTCTTTATGCAAACTGAGATCTTTTTCAAAAGGTGCTTGGGTTCGGGGAGGCGATGCATCTGAAGCAGCTGGCCGCTAAGGGGGCGTTAAGCTCAACCACCTCATTTGCAAGGCAAAGATCCCAAAAGCATATAATTGAAACATATTTAGAAAAAGCAAAAAAGTTGAGACAGTTTATCATTTCAAGCAACGTCAAAGGGAGGCAGCCAAATACATTTCCATTTCAATCAAGAGACGAGCAAGAAAGGTAATTGTATCATCCATGGCGAGTGCTATCGTATATAAGATAAGAGTTTTTTTTAGGAGCTTCAAAATAGCTATATTAAGATTCAAGCACTCAAAATTGAATTGAAAGTCTATTAAGAAAGCTGCTAGCAGAGGGTTCCGAAGTGCCAAACCTTCGTGGATTGATCGAGTGTAGTGCACATGAAGTTAGGTGAGATTTTTTTAGTGTTCAGTGTGCCAGGTCAAAGAAAGAAAGAGAGGGGGAAGAAGCGGGGTAGAGGAATTGGTAAACTCATCAGGCTCATGACCTGAAGACTGCAGGTTCGAATCCTGTCCCCGCCTAATCATTTGAGGCCGTAGTCAGCCTCCAGATTGGATATTCCGTAAGTAACTTAGTGAATGCGCTACAAGAACTTGGCAAAATCAAATGAGAAACTAACCTAATCAATTTTTTTTTTCATTCTACGAAAGCCACTTAGATTGTTGGAAAACAATCCATACTGTAGGATCCAAGAGCTCAGATAAATCAACAAACACAACAGCTCAAACCTCATAGTTCATCGATGCTACAGCTAGAGTTAGAGTTATAGCCGTTGTTTGACTTTCTATTGTAATAAGTTGTTGTAGGAGCTGCTCCCGTTGGTCTTGTCTTGCTACGAGGTTGTGTAACAAATATCTACGTATAGTTGCAGACAAGAAAGTTGATGTGACGTGAACTGCGCTGTGCTCATCAAACAAAATTACGGCTGCTCCGTGCAGAATTCAAAAATGCCATACCCATTTCTTTTTTGGTTGGACCAACCCAACCGGCAGCAAGAATAAGTCTCTCTTTTTTTTTTTTGGGGTGGAGCAGAGCAGTCAAAGAATTAAGCCAACCACATGCTAGACTGGGGAAAACAACTGTTCGATAATGAGCCGGTCTTTTTTTATATGACCTCTCTCTTACTCTTTATCTTTCTTAGAGGAATGCTCCAAGATTACAAAAAGACGGTAAACGACGTCTTGGAGTACAATAAAACACTCGGCGTTCCGATCTCATTCTCATATAGTTGGATTCGCGGTGTGAAAAGAAAACCCTCAGAAACTGGAGATCGGAACAAAGAAAAATGTAGACACTCTCCGTGCCTGGGCGGAGAAAAGAAGGGGGGACCTTAAGCCGATCATAAAAGACTACCTGCCAAAAAAAAGGTAGCCTGTCTACCGCTTTCTTTCATAACAGAGCCGTGATTCCCGGCTGGCATAGAAGTCTCTCGCGCGGGCGAAGGAGATGCATTTCTGAAACTGGTGGTATTGGACAAGCTCTCAGGGAATAATCTCTTTCTTATTTCTACCTTTCTTTCCCATGACGACTAGGAACAGGAAAATCAAAAATTTCACTTCGAATTTTGGACCTCAACATCCTGCTGCTCATGGTGTTTCACGATCAGTATTGGAAATGAACGGAGAAGTGGTGGAACGTGCGAAACCACATATTGGATCACTCCAGTGCGGCACGAAGCCGCTGATGCCGAGTCGGCTCCTATGCCGCTAGCTATGCCCTGCTTGGTCCCCCGACACGGTGGAGGTTCCGTAGCGCGTCATGAGCACCGGGCTAAGGGGTGGTTGAGAAACTCAAGCGAACCGCCTTACCTTATTACAACATAGGGACAGAAGGGAGAAGGTTGTGAAGGTGGCCTCATTATCCATACCCCCGGTCGGATGAATGGAGGACCGACCAGACCCGGGATTTCACGAGCGTTGGCGGGTTCTGGAGTGCCTGTCAAGGGCGCTAACGCATACCCCGGGGTGATCATCACCACCTGCACCTCACATCTCGGCACAGTGGAACGTGTAACCCCCTGCTGTTCCATTCAACTACATTTGTTCCTGTAATCCATAGCCTAACAGAATGCAGCAGCGAGGGACAACCCGCCCATACAGCCAGCGGGGAGGATGGCACTACTGGCAAAGACCGTCTGGCGAAAACGCCGCAGGCGCGAAGCGTGGTAGGCCTGCGCCGGGGGAGCATAGCATAGGGAGGAAAGGGAGCC